GGTTACCTGAGAACCCGATCAACTTGACTTCTAGTGCGCACAGTGTTGCCATTTTCTAAAGAATACTTCATTTACACGAAAGTAAACTTTTTGATCACCATTGAAAACGTTGAGACTTTTCATACTCTTCATAGACTTATCGTAGGATGCTCAGCAGCGTGAGGTTGTTCCTCCGCAATACTGATAATTCATCGCTCATGGCGAATTCGGACGATGGAAGTTTGCTGAATAGGCGTTGGACTGTAAGACCTTTATTTGACATTTCAAGAGAAAAGACCGCATTGCAATACTGCATGATTTATATTCAGGACGATTTCGCTGCATCCCAACACGGTGCATACTTCAGAAAATGCAATGTTTATGTGGCAATAAAGTAAAGCAAAACACCGTAAAACAGACACATTTGTTAATTCTGCGTGTCACATTTTGTGCACTCGTGCTACCGAAATTGGTAAGAACCCATTGTTGGCCCAGTTCTTTTTAAACGTGTCAGTTGCTCTTTGTCGGTACATTGGCTTGGTGAAAAGATCAGAGATAGAAAGACGAGTGCGATGTACACATCTGCTTCACACACGTCTGAGTTCAGACTGTACCAAACAAATCACGGTACAATGATCTTCATAAAAAAGAAAATGTTCCAAGAGTTGTTTATGCGGCGGAAAACTGCCAGGTTGCCCAGGTCAAGCAAGGTAAGTGAATTTTCTTAAGGAGTTCACAACCGGATCCTTCGGCTAGCCAAAGCCTAATCCGCAAGGTAGTGGTGCTGTGTGATAACCGGGGCCGGTGTCCAGTTCATCGGATCATACGCCCTTTGGACCGGGTCAAACATCCAAGGTGCCCAATTGAGCCGGTGGCCACTGCCTCAACCAGAAAGGTGTGTTTAGTGCAAGGCATCCACCATCTATGGTTCACATAAGTTCAAATTAGTCAACCTGACAGTACCGAAATGAAGTTAATCTAGCCATGTGCACAACCTGTTGGTCACTGATAGTAAGGGTTTCGGCTCCTAGCCGAGCAGTCCTCGGTTCAAGTACAGGAAGCGGAATAAAAGCTACTCAGTGCTGGTAATCCAGTGCACTTCATCGACGGTGCAAGCGCTATTTCGTTGAATGTGATGTGACCACACTCTTACTTGTACAATTTGATATTTCACCACATTTCCAAAGTTGTGTTCTGTCCCTTAGCGCTGAATATTCTCTTGGACGTGGTCACAAACAGCAGTTAGACTACCACTCATCTAAGTTTGTTAATTTCAAGTAATATAAAACGTTAATTGTTCCAAGCATAATTAGCTACATTTATGGAAAATATGGTGCATTTCTTCCATGATCAAGGTTTGAGATTTATTGTCATCATTCATCTAAGTTTCAGGCAGCAGGTGTTATTTTCGAAAACGAGCAAAATTTGAGTTAATATCAACCGTTGAAATAACTCAAAGAATCTGAACTAAAATGACGTTTGTCACGGTATGTATGATTCGGTGGAAGAGATATAGTGTAAAAATTTCTTTTACTCAAGGATTTTTCTCTTACATTGTAGCTAGAAAATGAGAAAATCCGTAATGCGTGACTGGTCTGTAATGGTCGACCTTATTGTTGGGCATAACAAAAGTAATTTTTCCGTTTCAAATTAGTTTATGCAACCATTAACCACGTATTTTCGTGCTGCAGTTTTGGTTGTTGTTCCTTGAATTATCCATTTCGATGAAACAGTAGAGGGGAATGGAATTTTGGAAGCAGCTGTTTATTGGATATGGAACCTAGTTATGGGAATATGTTTGGAGCAATTGTATAGTTTAGAGGATCGAGGGTACGGGTGTGGAATCCAAATCTGTGCTTTTGTAGCACTCGGATTTGCACGATGGAACGGAAAGTTCACGCTCCTCACTTTCTATTGGTCGGTTACTGTGTTCCTTGGTGATCATTTAGATTTTTTTTCTCTCCTCACACGGGAATTCTTTCTATCAAATGAGATTCACGAACCCGGCCGCCGTTGTGGTCAACTGTTATTGTATGTACCCAATACTTTTTAATAGAAGCATAGTGTGTCGAGTTCAGTCCCTTGCGAGTGAAATGGTGCGGTAGGAGCACTACATTTTCCGCATTCTGTTCGTAAATTTCTCAAGTTTTACTTTTCTGATCCTTAACTTTGTCCATCTTCTGAAAATTGAGCACTCATTTTTATGTTTCACAAAATGTTTCAATCTCGCAACTGTGGTGAGATGCAAAATAGAACCAAGTGTGATGCAATATATAAAACAATAAAATATATATAATAAATATATAAATAATATAAATATATATAATAATAATAAATATATAAAACAACTTTCCGGTGAAGTGGAGCAGTCTACCGACATGGACTACGTCAGTTGAATGCGACCAATAAGACTATAATTTGGTACAGCCCTCGATCGCCGTCCGACACTGTACTGGC